ACGTCTATCATCTATAGGCTGGTGGGAATGAAACGGCTTCAGCCTACAGAGTCGTTGAGATATTGGGGTATAAAAGTGACTGAAACAGGGCCGGATCACTTAATGAAGCCCAAAATCTTGGCAAAAAAGTGCTGGCCGTCTACAGTGTACAGCTCCTTACATGGTAGGGCACTTGGTGCTGAACGCTTCTATATTCTCGATGTTTTGGTACGCAGCATCGGTATGGAGTCTGGAAGAACAAACTACAGCAACCTTGAGGAGGAAAGCGGCAGCCTATTTATGGACCAGCAATCCGTCCACGCAGGCATTTTATAACAAAGGTGGCATGGAAATATGTAATTAGGAAGAAAAGAAAAGGGGGGCTAGGAATTATAGACCTCGAGCACCAGATCAAAGAGCTTCAAACTAAATGAATAATTAGTTAGATTAAAGTTATTAAAATAATTAGTAATTAGTAATCGCACAACTTACCGTGGGTAGAGCTGGCATTGGAGGCGGTTGGAGGGACAGCAAAATATAGGACCCCGACAAACATGAGGGGCCTGTTCTGGCTCATATGCAGATCGTGGGCAAAAGACAGGCGGAGGGAGCAGGGGGGAGAGGAGCAAGGGGGACAACAGAAGGAGGAAAGTTATTAGAGACAACCCCTCAAGCTGTGGGGTGAAGTCTTTCCGGCACAGGTCTACAAGAAGCCCAGAACGAGGGAGGATGTTCTACGCCAACCAATATGTGGCAATCGATGGGTCAGGGACCAAAGAGGGGGAAGCCTAGAACACTGACAGCGCAAGATCAGAAATGGGGAACATGGGTGGAGCACGGCCAGTGGCAAGTAAAACACCTGTGGTCGGACGAAAAGAAGAGCTAGAAAATGGCAAGGGATTTAAGAAGGGAACTAAAAGGAAGTCATAGGCTCATGGAAAATCTAAATGGCTTGCGGATCTCTATACCGGCTGAATGGAGGGTACAGTTGGAGAGGGGTCTCGAATGGGAACCCGGGGACTTGGTAACGTGGAAAAAGAAGAAAGTCCCGCGGGAGGTTTTCAGAGTCCAGCAGAGGGAAGGGCCACAAAGAGACTGGTTGCGCACAGACATGTATGAAACAGGGGAGCAGGGAGCCACAAGCAGCAACTTGAAGTCGATTAAAGAATCGAGGACGCAGGTCACTTACAAGGGAAGAGATGGTGCAAAAGGTGAGAGTGATAGAAACCGGCGACTTTACGGTCTACTGTCCCACAACGCCAATAGAGGATTTGGAGATGACCCAGTGGAGTGGGCGTGGAACCTTAGAAGTGGGAGGCTCAAGAGTGTAGTAAGAACAAACATATTGAAAGTACACAATTAAGTTGAGTTATATATGCTGAGAATGAGATCTCACTCACCGGAAGAACCTTTGCAGAGAAGATGGGAATCCAGGACGGGGGTTGCAACAGAGCTTCAAGAATTTCCATGAACACGACTAAGCTCTGTCAGATTGGACGAGTGGGGACCATGCAATGGCTGATCATTTATCTGGCATTGCCAGTGAACGTCTGGCTGAACGAGCGTACGAGTAGGGAGCGCAGGACATCGGGAGCGCAGAACATCCCAGAATGAACTAATGTATAGCATGTGCACAGGGGTTGGGAGAGAAACCGAATCATTGCGTGCCAGAGTGTCCAAAGGCGAGTCAGTTGTGGCAGATCATCAGAGAACTATGGACCRGAGCTAACCCCTCTCCCTTTCCTGAGGACCAGGTGACGCTGTTGCTGGGAGTCCGTACATCAAAAACCTGGACAAGTTTTTGAGCATAGTTGCTTCTGGTTGCTCCAATAAATTTGGGTTGCGGACGATCTGGAAGAGACGGTGTCAGAAAACATTGGAAAGGAAGCCAATGCATATAAGAGAAGTGGAAGAGGGCTACAGAAACCTCCTGCAGGTGGACATCACGGCGCATTGGAAGCAAACAAGGGAGAGAGTGAAGTGAAAAGTAGAGAAGCCCAAGGAAATAAAGCAGCACTTTGAGCAGGGGGTCTTGGGAAGAGGCAAGGTGGCAACCATAGAGGGGGACTCAAGTTCAGATGGTGGGCAGAACTCACGAGAAGCCAGCTTTACTCGAACAGTGGGAACCGGGAGGAGACAGAGGGAGGATAGGGGGAACTTGAAACCCCAGTAAACATCACGGGTGAAGAGAGCAGGGAGTAGGGAGCTCAGGTGAGAGGCGAACAGAAAGAGCGAGGAGGGTGGCAAGAGGAACAGAGCAGAGAGGACTAGAAGGGATTAGCAGAGGGCGGGAGTTAATCCTCCCCGAAAAGAGGGTAATCAATGTCGTAGGCCCATAGGAACAGTCTAATGCAATTTAGACTAGGAGTAAAACTAGAAAGCATTAGAATCAGGAACAAGGTATGAGAGGTTAAAGTTAATAAAGGCAGAACAGGGGTGAGCAGGGGTGAAGTCTCCTTTTCGGGAGCAATCAATACCACTGTCTCAGGGTTCCTCAGCCATACCGGAGCAATGCGGAGAGTGGGTCCCAATTGTAAGGGACGCTGAGCCCGTTTTTCAGCAGATAATAAAGATTGCTGCTTTGTTAAAAAAAGAAAAAAGTAGGAGACTAGGCGCTTGAAAAGGCCAGGCACAAGTGGACTATTTCTAGGTCATTGCTAGGAAATCTGGCCATCACAATGAGGTGGTAAAAAACACCTTTCAATAAGACACACTTCAAATCCTAGGCATAGGCATAGGCATAGGCATAGCTCAGTGGAACTTGACCCTTAGCCTGCAGATAGACAGGTCTGGGTGTGTACAATTCATCCACTACCGTCTTCGCCCGAATAGAACGCTCGGGCATTATAGCTGTATTTGGCACAACTTTTGGTCCAGATGCGGCGACAATGACCGGGCGTTCTATTCGGGTGAAGAGACAGTAGGAAGTTAGTCAACAATATTCCTTTCAGATCTCCCCCAAGATTCATTCAGCCACCGGACAGGCATTCCATATTTTTTTCAGATTTCTAAGCATTTCTTATATATAAAAAAAAGAGAGAGAGAGAGAGAGAACGGTATGTTTGCCCAGTGACGAAAGCATCAAGAACATCCTGCCTGAAAAACAAATCACCAGCCAGCCAGGCAATCTCCAAGAAACAATCCTCCTCACAGCATCCCACCTACGAGCAGATTGTTTGCAAAACCACCTACCTCTCTCAGTAAGGCCAAGGCTTCATTGGTTGCGCTCTTCTCACGCCCTGGACACAGAGCAAAGCAAAGTTGGCCCTTCATCTGTCAGAGCAGGAATCCAAAAAGCACCAACTTCCCTATCTTCCTTCTGCAAGAATAGCTTATCCACAACAATAGGGATGCTGCAAAGCAGTCCAGAGGATGTATCAAACTGTGAGACATGGAAGACTTCTGAGGACAGGGGACACACACACACACACACACACACACACACACACACACACACACACACACACACAGAGTAAAAGGGGAGCTGCGAGATGAAATAAGAAGGGGTTCCCCAAAGAAAGCAAAAGTAAAGAAAGCGAAGAAAGGACTGTACAAGGAAAAGGCACTGTACAAGGAAAAGGCAATGTAATGGTTTTATTTTGCTTCATGTTGTTTGCTCAAGAGGTAAAGCTGTTTCAATTTGGGCTCTGCTCATGTTAGTGCGCTTCATGTTGTTTGCTATAGAGGTGAAGCTGTTTCAATTTTGGAGCTACTCATCAGAGTGTAAAAGGGGTTGTTGTGGTGACAGTCCACAAAACACACACACACACACACACACACACACACACACACACACACACACACACACACACACACACACACACTCACTCTTGCCTGGTATCAAATATGCAGTTTGCCTATTTGTTCCTACTTTAGGTTTGCCTCTAGGGAGGCTTTCTCTTTCATTGGTTGTATGTGCTGGAGGGCATTCACTAGCAAGTTTTGAAGTTCAAAGTCAACGAAATAAAGTCAGCTTGGATAATGACGATGTGCCCAAATTCAGTAGCTGAAATGTGGGTTGAGTGTGTTATCATTGTGAGCCCAAAACAGAGACCTTTGGCTGGGAAGGTACCAGCCTGATGCCAGGTCCCATTTACCCAGATCCTTTGTATCTAACAATAGACCTCAAAGATTGATGGTCAGATGTGAAGAATCCATATAACTGGACCTTGACCCTGGGGGTCAACAGGCACTTAAAAGCTCAGCCCCATGCCACAGAGGGGCTGTCAAAAGCGAACAGTCATGACCAGGTCAGATTAGGAAGAATCTGAGCCATCCAATTCAATTAAGGGCCCAGCACACAGTACTCCCAAACACTTGCTAGGCCCACCCACATCCAGCACTACCTCTGCACATCCAGCCAAGCCTAACAGATATTTGGGCACGGCAAGGCCCCGTACTTAACTGGTTTTTGGCAGTTCACGACGGGACACTACGTAGGGTTTGAGTAGAGGCTTTTTGGATGTGGAGAATCCAGGTAACTGGGACCTTGAACCTGGGGGCCAACAGGCACTTAAGAGCTCAGCCCCAGGCCACAGAGGGGCTGGAGAAAGCGAACCATCATTGCCAGGTCAGGCTAGGGAGAATCTGAGCCATCCAATTCCATTAATGGCCTAGCGCACAGTACTCCCAAACACTTCTAGGCCCACCCACATCCAGCACCACCTCCGCACATCCAGCCGAGCCTAACAGATATCTGGGCACGGCAAGGCCAGGTACCAAACTGGTTTTCAGCAGTTAACTGGGACCTTGACCCTGGGGGTCAACAGGCACTTAAAAGCTCAGCCCCAGGTCACAGAAGGGCTGGAGAAAGCGAACAGTCATGCCCAGGTCAGGCTAGGAAGAATCTGAGCCACCCAGCACACAGTACTCCCAAACACTACTAGGTCCATCCAGATCCAGTGCTACCTCTGCAGATCCGACCGACCCTAACAGATATTTGGGCATGGCAAGACCAGGTACCAAACTGGTTTCCTCAGTTCAACCAGGAGGCAAGAGGTAGGAGGGGGAAGGAGTTTTGGAGGGCTATGGCTCATAAATCGTCAGCCATAGCCCTCCACACTCTTCCCCCTTCCTCCTTCCTCTCCTCCTCTTAGTCATCTTTCCTTCCACCCTTCCCTCTTTTCTTCCCTCCTGCTTGTTCTGGTTTTGATGTGCCCCATAATATTACAAGGCAAAGACGAAGAAGAAAAAGAACTAGAACCGTAGGTGAGGGGAAAGCCAGGAAGGAGATGGGGGACGGGGGTGGCAGGAAGGAGGAGGGGGGAACACGAGGAGGGTGGGGGAAACCGGGAGGAGGAGGCTCCCCTTGTGGCTGGCGGCGATTGCACACAGATGCAGAGGGTGAGCACAACTATGCTGCTTGGAAGGCATACAGGGAATGGTGTGCACTTCAAATTCAGAATTCGAATTCGAATTCGAAACGCCTCCCTCCCAAGAGCCGCCACTACCTGTGGGTACACCCACAATTTCGCCTGCCCCATTTCTGGGCATTCGAATAATTTGCCTGGACCGGACGGTTTTTTTTTAACAGGAGTAATATGGCACAGGGCTTTTGGGAGGCATTTCGAATTCGACTTCTGAATTTGAAGTGCGCGCAATTCCCTGTATGCCTTTCAAGCAGCATAGTTGTGCTCACCCTCCCAGCCTGTGTGCAATCTCTGCCAGTCACAAGGGAAGCCGTGGGCCTAGCTCAGTTTGTAAGGCACACAAGTTGCACTCAGGAGGTCATGGGTTCAGTCCCCATTGGCTTCACGTACGTGCCTGGGCATGCTTGGTGTCCTACCATCCAGAGATAGCCCGTAGGCCCCTCAGGCCATCATTGACAGGACCTTGGCCAATATTGTTGGGTGCTATGCAACAAGGATATTGGCTATTAGACACCACTAATGTGGGACTGGGGGGGGGGGGGGGGGGGGGGGGGGGGGGGAAGGGGGAGGTGCAGCGACCGGTCACATTGTTCGGCACTAGCACTGCCAGTTTCCCCATCGGCAAATCCTTGGCACTAGCACAGCCGGTTTCCACCTCAGCAACGCCTGCCCATCACCGTGAAGCTAATGTGGCGCTGGGGAGGAGGAGAAGGGGGAGGTGCAACAACTGGCCGCAGTGCTCGGCACAAGCACTCCTGGTTTCCCACCTCGGCTCTAGCACTGCCAGTTTCCCAACGCTGGGGGTGAGGGGAAGGGGAGGTGCAACAACTGGCCACAGTGGTCCCGGTTTCCCACCTCGGCTCTAGCACTGCCAGTTTCCCGGGCAACGCCTGCCCATCACCGTGAAGCTAATGTGGCGCTGGGGGGGAGGGGAAGGGGGAGGTGCAACGACTGGCCACAGTGGTCGGCACTAGCACTCCCGGTTTCCCACCTCGGCTCTAGCACTGCCAGTTTCCCCCCTGGGCAACGCCTGGCCACCCCGCCTCCCTGGTATGAGGGGCTGGTACAGCCTTGCTCTTGCACCACTATGGTGCAAACCTACCCCCTGGGCTGGGGAGAGATCCAGGTTGGTTGATGCTCCCCCATAATATACAGAGAGGCCATGGTCAGCTACGGTGGCCATGGTCAATCTGGACCATTCAGCACGTAGCAGCGAGAGGATGCTGTATGAGGAAAAATACAGAGAGAAAGAATGAGAGAAGAATATAGATTTTCTCGAAAAGAAAACATGTTCCCCTCAGCTACCGTGGCCATGGTCAATCTGGACCATTCAGCACGAACCATCTCATGGATCCATTCCCGTCAGATTTGACCAGCACGGGTCAAAGTGGTCAAAGTAGAAGACCGGGGACTAAGTGTCGCTCCGGGGGGGCTAAGACTTTGCGTCTCGCTGCACTACTCTTGAAATGCACAAACGACAAAAATCATGTCGTCGTATCTTTCCATGTTCTAGCGGAAGATTCACTCTCGTTTTGCACATTTCGAGAGTAGTGCAGCGAGGCCCTTTGTCTCGAATACGCACCGGTTCCTGCCATCCGATCTGAACATCTCACGGCCGCACTGTGGCCACGTTGAAAACTGGTCGAAAGGAAGCCTACAGCCCCGCCAGTGGGACTTAGACCCCGGCGTTGATCCTTGCTACCGGTAGTGCTTCATTATTCTTTCCCCCTCTCGCTCCCTCGTGATACGGCGAAACAGATATACCCTGCCATCTCCCCACTGTTGCCGTCTGAAGGGAGCACGATGAGGCCAGGCGGCAATTGGGAGGAGAAGCCCTACCTATACGTTCAGGCCAGGCAAAAAGAGTAGGAGGCAGGAGGCAGGAGGCGGCCGTCTTCTCCGGAACATAACGCACCCTGATCACGAGTGTATACAGGCTATCATTCCGGTTGTATACGGTCATAATGAAGGTGCCTTGTGTTGGGGGATGACGGTAGTAGGGGGGGGGGGGGGGGGGGGGGTGCTGTGGCGGTAGGAGGGCCATCGCAATTGCTGAGAGCACTACAGACGGCGAGGATCAAGAGAAGCACGTCAGTAGAGAGGCTTACTGTGGAGGGCCTTCCATGTGAAATTGGCTCAGCTGATGTGACATTGGAGGAGGCCCTTCCATGCCGATTGAGACGCATTGAAGCTTGCCTGTTGAAGGCCTATACATAAGCCCTCGGCTCAGGGAGGCCCGTACTGAGGGTGCTCAAATTGTTGGGGTAATGCTTCTTTGCTTGTTCGCTGAAGGAGAATGCGCAAGGAGTCCTTCGGGACATCCGTTAAAATTGGAACGATACAGAGAATGAGGATTAGCATGGCCCCTGCGCAAGGATGAGAAAAAAATGCGCAAGGCTGAAGTGGATCTTTCACTTGGGCATACATATACCTCAGATCCAGGGCAGACATAACTACAGCATTACCTCTGGACCGATTTTAGTACCATAAACCGGGCACTACTCAGATAGGAGAATCCGTTAGAAGAATCCGTTAGGAGAATCGCTTTCAGGATTGACAATCCGTTAGGATAGTCTAGCACATTACCAAACGGAGGCTATGATTATGATCTAGTGTCGCCAAACGTCTCGTGTTTTAAGACGGGATACCAGACTTTTGAGCACAACAACTTGGTGGATGACTTTGTTTAGTGTACGTCGTCTGGAGAGTGCTGAAGAAATTGAGTGAGCGCCTCATCTGTGCGGAGATCGCACGCTTCGACGGTTGAGTGCCCCGTTGGCAATGGACTATAATGAACTTAGTGTACTCCACATTGGTTTGTTGTTGCAGTAATACTTGTTGTTGTTATGAGTTCTATCTATCTTTGCCAATGACCCCTATTCACTTGTATTACTTTATCTATCGCTTACAAGATCGAGCGCGCGCATCTGTGTTTGAGCTTCACTTGAATCGTGGCATGTATCTATCTATCTATCTATCTATCTATCTATCTATCTATCTTATAAAGCTAGCGACTGTGTTGGTTTTTGCTCCTAACGACAACATCGGAGAACAGGCATCCATCTCAGATGTGATGAGAGCACCACTGAGATGGGGACCATGCCCGTAGACGATCGCTCTACCTATCTATCTATCTTATACATATATTTACATATTTGTTTATGCAATGAATGATTCTCTCCCATTTGCATGATCCCATGGGAGAAGGAACAAGGCCCCTTCAATCGCCATCTGCAGCGAATGAATTCCTGTTCATGTGGATGCTATGACATTGGCAATTGCATTAATGCATTAATGCAAAATCAGGGAGGAGAGGGAGGGAGCGGAGGGCATGTTCCACTTCCCCCGACTACGTTTCCGGCCTTTGCTCCTTGCCATAAGTATTTTCTGTTTGTACGACTGCGAAAGAAGAACCCAGGTAAGTCGCCTACATCGCCCGCGGGGTTTACCCTCCTCCTTGGGGAATGTGTTCTTACTCACCTGGATCTTCCATCCCGGGGAGATGTCACACTCACACCTGAGAATCCTTCGTTTCAGGCCTTCGAATGGGAAATAGCCAATCAGAAGGCAGAGAAAACGCGTGAGTGGGACAATGACCCCGAAGCTTAAGCCTCGCATTGTAAGGCCAGACTCGAAAGCACAGGTTAACCCACAGGTTTAAACCACAAGGTTAAATCACAAGGTTAAATCACAGGTTAAATCACAGGTTAAACCACAACGGTTAAACCACAACGGTTTAACCCACAACGGTTAAACCACAACCGGTTAAATCGAAGGCTGAACCTCAGGGTTAAACCAAAGGTTCAACCAGAGATTGAACGACAAGGTTAAACCACAAGGTTAAAGGTTAAACCACAACGGTTAAACCACAACGGTTAAACCACAACGGTTAAACCACAACGGTTAAAACCACAACGGTTAAATCGAAGGCTGAACCTCAGGGTTAAACCAAAGGTTCAACCTGAGATTTAACGACAAGGTTAAACCACAAGGTTAAACCACAAGGTTAAGACTTTGTGGGCGCAGTAAGGGGAAAAGCACACGTGGCGGGCGAATTTGTATTATTGATGGTGTTCATTGAATAGTGAGCTCGGAAGCATCTTGGTTGGTCATAATTGCTTGCACTATTCTTTTCAACCCTTTCTTCCTTTTTTTTTTTTCCTTTTTTTTTGAGGAAAGGGCGACGGCGGCCTTGAGATATCATCATTGAGCAGCTGACCGGCCCCAGGTAAAATTCAGAATTACTGTATCTTGATTGCATCTGGATCCGAAGTTGGGTCTATACTTGAACAGTTCACGGGTGTACCAATCAGAGCTACGCGCTTCGTTCTTTTCACCGCACTAATGACTCAGTTAATCAATTGAGCGAGACGCTCTAATACAGTAGCACGCAGGAGCTTTCTATGGCTACCCCACTGCTTTCCCGCCAGCCTCGTTCCCTTCCCCACACCCCCCCCTTTTTTTTTTTTTTAAGCCGTCAGCATCAGGCTGAGCCCCTCTCCATCCCTCCCATCCTCCCATCGAAAGGCGAAAAAAAGAAATAAATTACTTTTATTGATAGTGAAAACAAAAAAGCCCACTTCTACCCTCCTCCTTCCAGCTAGGAAGACAGATGCACACTCACGGAAGCCACACGTGATCAGGAATCCTTTCCGCCTATTCGTGAACGCCGCAGTTGCAGCCTTGTAGTCAAAGCGCGCCAAGCTGATGATTGAACCGTGCTGCTCCCACGGCTCCAGGTCCCACTTCTTGCCCGATCCCGACGGGCAGCCATCTCTCTCTTCCTCCTCCTCCGTTTCTCCTGCTTCTCTCGAGATCCTGTGCACTTTCGCATCCACACTCGGCAAGTCTTCACCCAACGTTCTTTCCCTCTTTTCGCCTAACAGTACAGGCACTTCGACATCGGTCGTCCGCGGGCCTACGGCCATCAACGACCGGTCGCCTGACGACGTCGGACCATCTCCTCCGCCGTCGGCCCCTTCTTCCACCATTGGCTCACGTTGTCCGTAGTCCTCGGTCCTTCACCGAGGGGATCGTTCCACTGCAGTGAAGACACGGAATATATACTAACGACTTGTGGCCGTCGATTACCTGCATCGACGGCTGTGATGATGCAGTGGGTGCAATGGGAGTGGGAGCAGTGGAGGCAAGCACGTGTTACCCTCCTTCCTTCGTCCGATTCGCACTGGCCCCTCACTCTTCTTCTTCCTCTACTCCCTCCCTCTTCATACTCAAGCTCCCTTCTCTCTCACAAGACAATCATACAGGCCACGTAGCGTCGTGTTCTACACCTATAAATTGATGCAACTGTCAAACAGATCAGGTGTTCGAGTCCATTGCAGATAGACTAATACAAAAGCGTCAGGCCTGCTCCCTTTATTGTAGAGGAAATTGCGGAAATGCCCCTGAAAGTTGTGGTACGTCGTCAGATACCCCTAAAAAGCATGGGTATGGCGGAATGCCCCTAGGACAGTAGTGAAACTTTCTGAAATACCCCACTGGCCAATTGGACCTGTCATTTTTTGCGTAGCCCCAAAAGAAGCTTGAACGCTGCATCGTCTACCGCACTACGGGCGCGCTTCAAACTGGGACTTCCCGGTCCAGTCAGATCCCGTCCACAGGACCACGTTTAGGTAGGGTGGTTGATTGCGGTCTGGCCTTCAGCAAGACTGTTCGCAGCCCGTCAGGGGTGCGTTTTATGCCGTGGGAACATCGCATTTTTTATGCCCTGGGAACATTTTTCGTCGTCGTCACCAAACGGTGCGGTAGTTGGACGGGTGGTGTATTTGCTGGGGGTCCAATTCGTGGGAAATAGGCAGTTCAAGGAAGTGCAGGACCGGTAGTTTTTTATGCCCTGGGAACATTTTTCG